CTAGGGTCGTTGAAATCCTTTAGATAGAAGCTGGTCCTCATTGGAATGGATGGGAATTCTGTAACAGAGAATCACAAGGAAGTTACAGTCTATGTAAAAGCTAAAGCATCCAAAATCCTACTACCGAAGGTCTCAAGATTCATTCAAGCGAATGGAACTAGCCACAACCACAAACATCAACAAAAAATTCTAGTTTGGAAGAATATTAGAAGCAACAGAGGGAAAATGGAGTTTTTGTAACGGCCAGTTTTAAAATACTGTAACGCCTCTGTTTTGAAGCCAATGGGCTGAGTTGCCCGAATTAAATAGAGATGGAGGGAGGAAGATGGGAAGGACCCATGACGTGGGGCAATGCTCCTGCGTTGCATGGAATCGCGGAAGGAGCGCTGTAGATGGGAGATGGGCCAAAACAGTCATGTTTTCCTTTTTTTATGCTTTCTTTCCTACTATACTTCATTCCTTTTTAATGATTTCCTATGTATGTGCTGTATTAGGGTTTGGAAGTCAGTTTTTGGTGTGAGTTTGTTTAGGACTGCCGTCGACATTCATTTTCTCCCTTTGAGAGCTGTATCTGAGTGTTTGGGCGGTGCGATAGATGTATTTCTCTCTCAATATAGTGATTATCTTGATATCTTTCCAAATCCTTCCCACATTGATCTCGGTCACCCTTCATACAACTGCAGTTGTTGCTGCCCCCTTGCAATTTCCTCCTTGCCACCCGCCAACCAACCTTTTCCCCTCCAAAACCTGCATCATCAGCCGCCCCGCAGCCTCCCTAACTACAGCCGCCAACCCCTCTCCTATCCTTCCAAGCCAGACCCAGCCGCACTTCCACTTGCTGCCCTTCCCCCAGTCCCTTAATCACAGCCTACACCTCCACCCTCCTTTCCACAGCAACTGCTATTTTGGGGCAGTAGAGATGTGAAAGGAATGCAACCCCTTGTCGTAGCCGTCAAGTTCAGCTTCTTGAGAAGCAAAACAAAAAGAGAAAGCATAGCAATGAGCATCTTGTGACTTGAACGAGCATTTGGTGGGCTTTGTTAAGAGCTTTGAGGGCTGAAGACGACGGGAAGTGGCGGATGAACTTGTTGGAGCAATGTTTGGAGCGAAAAGTTGTGTTTGCAAACTCAATTGATCGATCGAAGAAGGGTAAGCTTTGGAGTTCTAGTTTGAGCACACCTCCAATCCACGTCCTCGCAACTTTGTGGTTTCGTGCGAAGCGAAGTCATGAAGGAAACTTAAGCAGTGTAGACTGCATAACCGACGACTGTTAGGCAATTTTTTATGTATTTATTAATAATAATAAATAAAATTAAAGCATTAATCTTAAATTTAATATTAAATATAAGATATTTAATTCAAAAGTTAATAAATAATTTACATAAGAAACAAGTAAATAAGTTGTAATTAAAAGAAAAAACTTTATTAAATTTAATATACTTGAATGAAATGGGTAAAAATTATATCATGATATTACAATGAAAATAGTAATTAACTTATATATTATTTTTAGAACTTAAAGTGAATCGATAATGAAGGTAAATTTATTGAAGTTTAGCCTTCATATTTTATAAAAATTGTTAAAATTGTAAATTGAATGGATTTAATTATGGATATTAATAAGAATAATATTAATTAAATTATTGCAAAATATTTATTTTGAGGGTAGCATTGAGTAAATAATAACATTATTTGAAGAAATAAATTAAAAGTTTTAAAAATAAAATGATGATTCATAAAGTTAAAATAAAGGCAAATTACTTGTAAATGGTAAGACTTAATTATAATAAAGTAATTAGCATATTCTACATATATGATTGCAGTTTTTTATTAGAGAAAAGCTGATAGAACACATACAATGATGCTTTTGAGCTAGTTGAGTACTCTTATTTTTAAATTGTTGTAACTTTTTATTTCTTTTAAACCAAATTCATTGATAGTTACGGATTGCACAATTTTGATGTGATTTATTTACTCTTTTTATTTGTTGGTCATATAATTGTGATGATTTTATATTTTTAGCAAGACGATTATTATGAATTTTTTAAAGGTGTTTATATCAAATATAATGAAATAAATATATAAATGATATGAGTTAATTAGATTGTTTGCATGTGCATTTTAACTATAATGAAATTCACCCCCTTATGATGCTAGCGGGGATGTTTACGCACGTAATTGAAAAATGATATTAATATTGATGTAACTTAATTGATGAAATTTTAGACAGTGCTACTGTGATGGTTGTATAAATATAAAATAAGATAGATTTGTCACTAATATAGTAAAATATATTGGTATTTTTAAAGTAACATGAACGATAATATCTAAAAAGTAAATTATTTAATGCTTGGATATTGATTTATAATACTTTTGACTAGCATGCATATTTTTTTCTTTTCATTGTATTACTATAATTTAGTAGATATATTCACTGACCTCACTGTTATTTAAATTAATTTTTTAGATTGAAATTTTTGTTTAATGAAAAGTAATTATAAGGGAATGTTATAGAAGATGTGAGCAAATGAATTGAGATAAATTTAAATATATTAATTTAATTAACTTTTTTAGTGACTTTCAATTTATTTAGATTATACACAATTAGTGATAGAATAAGAAAATATAAAAGTTTAATTTTCACCGTCCGACTGTCTATTCCTAACTTCAAAAATTTTCAAGCCTCACACTAGGTTATGACAATCTTGTATCAATTCAAAAGGAGAGAGGGAGACCGACGATAACTTGTTTAAACACTGCAAAAGTATTGCATAAAATGTAGTTAATACATTATGGAACATATAATGAGAATGAATGATTAAGGATTTCTAAAGCCACCTCAAAAGTATTGTAATTAAGGTTATGAACAATTTGATCTCAAGCCAATTTGATGCCATCTCAAGTGTGATTTTATGTTATTTAAATTTATTTAGCGTTGAGGTAAGCCCAACTATAAACTAGTTTGAGCTTAGTCGGACTCATTGATTGCTTTTTTATTCAAACCAACGACGATACAATTTTTTTGTGAGTTTTGATTCATTTTCAAGTTCTTGTAGATTTTTTTTTCTTTTGTGAAACTCTTGATATACAAAAATTTATTGTGAGGCCCTTAGGTGGATTGAAGCTATACTCTTAAACATTGATGCGTCTTTTGCTATAACGATTGGAATCTTTTTATAGATATTATTTTGCGTTTCCAAATGTCCAATAATATTATATTTGATTAAAATACCTCTTTTGTTTGACAGCTTCCTTTTAATTACCCCATTCATGCCTTAAACAATCTTCTTTGTCCATGTGTGAATAGAATCCTTATCTGAGATGATTGAAATGGATCTTGTCTGATAATGTTTATTGATGCTTTTCTTATGAAGCAACCTTTTTTTTTCTTTCTTTTCTAGAAATATGCATTAGAATGCTTATATTGCAGGCAAAACCGTTATAACCACTCTTGTGGGAAGCTTATTTCATCTTCATAAAAGTAGCATCGACTTTCCTTTGCACCGAAAAATCCAACAAAATATTAACATATAAAATACATAATGGAGCAAATAATAATCAATTTCTCTTCCACACCATTATATCATATGACCTAATCTGTGAGTTGCATTATAAGTTAACTAACAATGTCACACTTATTTATAAATTATGTAACCGAGGTGTGCATTGTTGTGAAAATGATGTTTCTTTTCTTAAGTGCACATTAGATTATTTAGTTTGTTTTCTGATCATTGTTTAACCAATGTTTTGAATACTAGACTAGACCAACCGGTTCAACTGTTCTACCAGGAACCAATTATATGGTCGGTTCAGTCAACATGAAAGAACCAACCTGGCATTGATCCGATAAGACCCGGTTAATAATGGTTGTCCAACTGTTGAACTGGCCTCGATTTTGTAAAACTAACTAGTTTGAATTTTATTCATTTAATTATTTAGTGATACAATGGTTGTAAACAAATCAAGCTCATTAAACTTAAAAGATAACATTTTTAAATTTTTTTTAATCTCATATATGATGAAAAAACTGACCAAACAAACAACCAAAATTACCACCAAGTAAACTTTCAACTTAAACTTCAAAGCTCTTTCATTTCGAGTTAAATTTTGCAATGTTAATATTTCCTAATGATGAGAGACTAAATGAACTTCAAATGATACAAGAATGTAGAATTTGGCTGTGGAAATGGGCTGGACTAAGAAAATTGACAGACATATTATGAATTTATATTCTTTTTTTTTCTTAATTTAAAATAAGTTTCATGTGCATATGTCTCTATTTATTATATGCAAATATCTTTATAATATTCATGGTTAATCAAACTTCTTAATGAGCTCTATGTGGAGCCTTAATTGAGTTGTAACAGTTTTTTTTTAAGAATTAAGTATTTATTAAATGCTCATACTTGTTTGATTAATTAATCAAATAAGTAGGAACGAGCTATTATCAGGCCATGTTACGAGTAACTTGTCAAATGCTCAATTTCTTTTCAGCCCCAAATAAAAAACTATTTATTTATATTGGCTAAAAATTGTATAATAATGACGCTATTTGTAGCTTAAGAGAAATACAATATAAAATACAAATTATATGCAAATATATTCTTTAATTTAAAATTTGAACCCCTCAAAATTAAATGGAAATCATAGAATATATTGAAACCCAATCAAAACCATCAAAACTTGGTTGAAAGTACCTAAAGTCAATTAAAACTGCCAAAAATTAAAAAATAAATTATATTTATGAGTTTCAAAGTTTACAAGAGAAAAAAAGTAAATCTGAAAAAATAGCTTTTCTAATTTTATAAAGGCTTTTTAGAATAAGAAAATGACCAAAACTAATCTTCGAAATCATTGGCATATCAAAACCAACGAAACTAACTGTTGTGATAGAATCAAATTTGAAAATGAAATCATATGTGCAAATAATAATTGTGATGAAACTATTCATGGTAAATTTCAAAATCCTTATCATTGACTGTTCTTATTTTTTTGCACAGCACCGAGGTGAGAGACGAGGGCTTGGTGGGATATTTTTTGATGACCTTAATGACTATGATCAAGAATTGCTTCTTGCCTTTGCTACAGGTACATGACTGCATCATATCCATGTTGCTTCCACAAATCTGTCTTAAATGTTATAAACATTCCTCCATTTTTTTTCTATCTGTTAACCTACTCTTCAAATGCAATATCACTTCATTTCATTTTTATGAGTTGAACATTAGAGTTTCGTTTGTTTATTCAATCATTTGAACATCTTTTCAACGTGTATTAAAGCGGCAATGCCTCTCACAGAAGCCAAATGTAAATTTGGTTTTAATTGTATAGTTCACTAATCAAATCTGCAAAGAAGTTGTAATATCATAAATCAAAGTTTGTTTTTATTTTAGGTGATGTTTCTCATGTGAATAAACTAGCTATTATGAAGACTTTCTTCTGTACTTTTGATAATCTGGTAATCTTAAAAATATATAAGAAATGGTGTTTGCCTTTAAATAATCGAGCAATTCATATTATTTTAAATGATATTAAAGAGGTTGAATGGTCTTAATATTGCATAGGATTCAAGTTCTTTTCCATCAGTTCATATATTAATCAATTTTTTGTCAGGACATTTTTGTTAGTAAAGCATTAAGTCGAGATACGTGCAGCAAGTTCGTGTTCTTTCTATTGTTCCAAAAAATTCATCTGTTTGGACTTCTTAAAAAAAAATTCTCAATTCCTATGTTTGCTTTGGGCACGGTTCTTGGTGTTAAAAATTTTAATTCACTTTCATTGGCTCTGATTTTCTCCGCGCCCCATCCCCCTTAATTTTTCTCTGCCCTAGCTTTGGGCGGTATCTTGCTTAGAATTAAATTTTAGGGGCTTTTACATCAATTCCAGTGTATTTAGATATCTAGCACCTAAATTTTGAATTTAAAATTTTTAACTTTCAAATCTTTCATGTCATATCAAAATACCACTATTACTATAAAAGGTTAAATATACCTTTTCATGCATAGATTAAGCTGTTATAAATATAAAAATCAAAGTTTAAGTGTTAGATATGTAAATTCATAAGGATTGGCTGTATGTAATCTTCCTAATTTTGATTTTATTCTATTTTCTAATAAATTTATGTTTGGGCAATTATTTTTGGGCAGGACGATCACACTTGATGACAAGTGGTGCACAATGCTTCAATTCACTTTAATGATTCTTCAATTATCAAATTGAAGTGCACAGACTCCTTTAGATACACTAAAAACTGTTAATATTTATGTAAGTTATTTTTAAAAGAATTAGAAATAAATTTAGTGTTTTTTTATTTAAAAATAATGAAAATGAAAAATAGTTAAAACTATGTTTAAATCTATTTTTGATATACATATGAGGAGACGATTTTTGATGTTAGGTTTTTGACATTCTGTATCAGTTAAGTCACGTTGAAGAAAGTTCTTTTTGGAAGATGTTGAAGGTGATGATCATGGCAGTGAAGGCAGAACGGACACGTGTATATCATAAAATAACATATGTTGGCGGCACATCTGGCTGCCATTGAATCAAGCTCATGTATTTAGGCTTGAACTTAAACTTTACTTAATCAAAATCATTTAGAGTTGTCTCGACTCAAAGTAGTTTGATTTGAATTGACCTTGATTTTTTTTTAATCGAAGTATATACATAAATATAAATCTTATATTATCCATTATACATATGTTATATAATATATATAATATATATTATATATTTAATATAAATGTTTATTTTGAGTTAACTCGATTTATATAAATCAATTCAAGTTGATTTAGGGCAAACACAAATTCAACTTGAATTAATTCCAACTTTAAAGCGTTTTTTGTGGGAATTTTGGTATTGGATAGGTTAGAGTTTGTGGAGATGATTCGCTTTTTTGAAATGTTACACAAGTTGGCTCATGAAAACATTGTGCTTACCGCCAAACTCCTTCAGTTAATTGGAATATTTGGTAAAAAGATTAGACTTGACGAGATCTAGGAGAAAGTTGATTGAATAATAAGTTTGTCGTATTGGCGGTAAGCGGACGTGTAAGCACTTACATAAGAAATAGGGACCATTGAGATCATATTTTAGCCGTCAAGGGACTGAAGTAAATGCATTAAGTAATCTGGGATTAACATAGCCACATACAAATAGTTTAAATCATTTGATGGAGAATATATATGCATAAACAAGAGGAAAACTGACAACTGTGATGATTTTACATCCGGGAATTTATTGGTTATGAAAGATGAGGGTATTTCTAGAAATAAAATAACCCTATGGAGAATTTGATTGCCCTATAATGCTGAGGGCTGAGGATATGTTAAAGTCGTGCAAAGAGGAATTATCATAAAATATTGGAATTTATGTAAGTCATTAGGAAACGAAGTTTGAAAAATATATGTTCAGTGCTGCAGAACAATGAATGTGAAAAACTTGTTCCGTTCTTATAAGCGCCTTTAAGTTGACAGCAAAAGACGTTGAGCTTAGTTGGAATTGAGATTTGGGTTTGTTTAGAAGATTTATGAGGAGATGGATTATAAGCCAAATAAGTAAGGATGCAAATTTTTGTTGAGGGGTTATTTTTTATCATTTAGCTATTATTGATTTCATTATTAATTATAATGTGTTGGTCCAAATGTAAATATGTTCTAATGCTAATGATATTTAACATTTAAACATGAGATCTCCATATTTTTCCGTGAATTTAATGGAAAGGATTTTTTATTTTTTACTTATTTAACACCGCAAATGTCATATCTATGTAGCTCTAACCCAAATCCTTGAGTAATTCAAAATTTTGGCCTTAGTTTGATTCCATCCAAGGTTCCATGTACATTATGTTGGAGTTTTTAGTAGTATTACTTTATCAGGTAGGTCTCCTAATTGGAAGGAGTTTATATTTAAAAGATATCTTATAATTGAGGGTGTTATTCTCAAATGTTTACTTTCTTAGGGTTTCTTACAAATTAAATAGAAACTTTCATCTTGCAAACTGGAGTTAGAATCCATCATCTTAATTTTTTGTTTACCTTGCTAATATTACCTCTGATAATATGTTTTTATCTTCTAGAGTGTGCAAAGTCTGTTGTTCCGGCATATATTCCCATCATAAATCGGAGAAAAGAGATGTCGTTTACCAATCAACACAAGGAATGGCAACAACTGCGTAGGGGACGATATGTCGAATTCAACCTGGTAAATTCCATTCAAATCAAAAGTAAAAAACTTACTCATTTCTTCCACCTGATGTCAATCTTGATCCTCAAATGAGCATATATTTGATTGATTGTTAAGGTCTATGATCGTGGCACGACATTCGGGCTGAAGACAGGCGGTCGGATTGAGAGTATTCTTGTTTCCCTTCCCCTAACAGCTAGATGGGAATACGATCATGTGAGATTTACATTATTAAATTGGAAGATTTATATACATACCACTCAATTCTTATAAATCTACGATTCTAATACCTAAACTGCAAAATGGTATTTTTATTTGATATGAAAGATTTGGGTGATATAAATGTAAAAAAGTAAAATTTAGGTGTTAGACTTGTAAATACATAAGAGTTGGGTGTTATGTATGTAAATGCCTCAATTAAATTTCACTCTTTTTCAATTAAGGAAACATTCTGAAACTATGCTTCATTACGCAGGCACCTGAGGAAGGTAGTGAGGAATGGAAGCTTCTAGATGCTTGCATCAATGCGAAGGATTGGATTTGATACTGATCGTCTGTAAGTTTTGCGGTTGGCCTGTAAGTTTGATTGTTGTATCTGTTTCTTCCGATCTGTAAGTTTTTTGTAATATTCTAAGTATATTTGAGCGTTCTTTGCGCTCCATTCATTTTTTATTTTTGTAATAGAGAAGGCCTTCACATTGAATTATTTTGAGAGATAATTTAGTAAAGTTCTCTCTTCTCCTTTATTATTTACAAATGTATCAGAAGGAAGAAAAAATGATGCCTCTTAGCATCTAGTTTTTTGTATTAATTTGGTGTAAAATTTTGCTGATTGGAAGATATTTATTTCGTTATCGCCAGATTCCATTGCTACGATATCATTATTACCAATCACAATAGCAAGCTTTTAAAAGTAAAAATGTATCTTTTCGAGCATGCATGAAATATTATGAATGTAACAAATCAAATTATAGGGAGCTGATATATGATTACATAAAAATTGTAGTACCTAATCTAAATATAACCAATACAAAATACATTTTTATGATTTGAAAGCTGCCGTGTGGGTAAACGTCTTAGTATAAGCTCAAGGACAAACCAAACAATAACATGAATTCAAAATTTATATAAAAGCAATGGCATTAATATTTGCTTCAAAATATCCACTTTTTATTATGTTCGTCAATTCCAAAATCTAATGGAGTATACCAAAATCTTCAAACAAACAACAAATTAATTTTAAGAAATTTCTAATACAAAGCCTCTTGAATCCCAACAAGATAAATAGTAAGTACTCCAAATTCTGCATCGTTTTAAGGACAGCTGATTTAGTTATAGACCATGTATTTTGGCGTAGCACTGAACTTCTGGTAGCCTTTGATGACCTTGTTAACCGCATCAAGGAAGTCTTTCTCAGTAACCGTCTTTCTCCGAGCTCTGATGGCAAACATTCCTGCCTCAGTGCACACGCTCCTGATATCAGCTCCTGTTCAAACAACCATCAAATCCATCATTATCAAACAAATTCAAAATAAACCCACTAAATTATACATGGGAAATTAACATGCATACCACAAAATTGTCATGTATTTATATAAACACCAAAAGTTTGATGTTTATACACTTATGCTACATTGGTGTAATAAGCCTATGTATGAAAAAGACGCATTTCACTTTTTGAGATGGTTATATAAATATTGTTGATGTGATGTTTAAGATTTGTGAGGTTATGCATGTAAATATGAACGTTTAGCTGTTAGAAATGTAAATACATAAAGATTATGTGGTATGTACGCACTTGCCCAATATATCTATATATACATATATATTGGGCCGAGAAGCGTTTACATACATACCAACCAATTCAAAATGTATTTACATATGTAACACCTAAACTTTATATCACCCAAAACTTTCATATCACATTAAAAATAACACTAAAAAATAAAATACACCTTTTCATTCATATTTAAGGTGATCCGTATGTAAAAATTGAAGTTCACGTGTTAGATATGTAAGTACATAAGAATTGAGTGGTATGTAGTACATCTGCAATATATATATAATTTTTTAAAAGGGTGGTATTTTGAAATACCGATCCCTAAGGCTATGCATTTGTTCTCAACAGGAATCGAACCCGGGCTAGAGGGGACTTGTGACAAAGTTACTAACCAACTTGCCGCCCGGGGTGTGTGTGTGTGTGTGTGTGTGGTGTGTGTTGTGTGTGTAGATATGCATGTATGTATGTATAGATAAATGTGTGTGTGTGTAATATAATGGAAGAGAAAATTTGCATATGGTAGTTACCAGTGGAATTGGGGCAGAGACGAGCAAGAAGTTCGAATCGAATATCCCGCTCGCAGTTCATTGTCCTCGTGTGAATCTTGAAAATCTGTGTTCTGCTCTCTAAATCAGGCAAGCCAAACTCAACCTTTCGATCCAATCGTCCAGGGCGTAGTAGTGCAGGATCCAAAGTGTCAGGTCTGCATGGATGCATTTAGGCAGGATAAGTTAAAATAGTTGGGGTATCAAACTCTCAGTACACTTTTATCAAACAAGTGTAGATCATTTTGTTAAATGATTTCAAGGTCTTGTAAATTTCTGTAATGTTGATATTAGCACAAATACAGTGCTTTGTAGCAAGTACAATTTTATATACAAATAATAAAATTTTATTTCCCAGACCCGCCAGAGGATATTAGTGTGATTTCAGCACATTTGTAGAGAGGAAAAGCTCCACGAGAGTAGCACCAATAGCACAAACTAATATTTAGATAAAAAAGCATTGTTTTAAAACAAAAATAGGTGTTGCTTCATCTGATCTATCTTGGCCCACAAAATCACTTGGGACACAGTAATAGACTTTTCGATATGAGAAACAAACAAATGATAAAGAAGAATAAAATATTCAGGATGTACTTAAGCAAAATTAACTGCCATACACGAAATATTAATGGGATAGCTTGGGAAACAGCAAATTTTAGAAAAAAATGGGTGTAACAAAAAGGTCTTGAGAGAATGAAAATAAAATCAATGCATCGTGTAGTCAACAGAGGCAGATAAACACCTGAAACACTGCATAATCCGAGAATAGTTCAGGCCTCTAAATCAAAGGAAAATATAAACTTCAAATAAATCTAATAGATCCCAAAGAACCATCTTCAGAATAAATACAACAAAGTAGTGTAAAGTTGAAGGGTAAACGCAGCTAAAGATTGGCTTATGAGTTCAACGCCAAAATAATAATCCACAGCCAACAGCACAGAAATCAGTAAAATATATTACTAAGCCAAAATAAATAAGAAAAAATTACATACAAACCACTCAATTCCTATGTATCTCTAAATACCTAACACCTAAACTTCAATCTTTTACATAAATGCCACCTTACATATGCATGAAAACGTGTATTGAACCTTTTAAAAATTAAATTGGTGGTATTTTTTATTTGATATGAAAGATTTTGGGCGGAACAAATATAAAACGTAAAGTTTAGTGGTTAGATATGTAAATACATAGGAATTGGGTGGTATGTATGCAAATGCCCCAAGAAATAAATGAATGCTGACCACAGGAAAAAATAATCAAGCCTACATCTCACTATAGTAATCACTGAAGGAATGCAAAAGCCATGGATTATATAAACATCAGCACAATGAAAAAATTAAGCCTATATCTCATTATAGAAACCGTTAAAGCGACACCAAGCTGATTAATGACAAAAAAATCAGCACACAGAACACAAGCATAGCACAACTCACCTATTAGTAGCCATCAGAACTTTAATGTTTCCTCGGGCATCAAAACCATCAAGCTGATTGACAATTTCAAGCATTGTACGCTGTACTTCGTTGTCACCCCCAACCCCATCATCAAAACGAGCACCGCCAATCGCATCCACTTCATCGAAAAATACAATGCATGCCTTTTTCGAGCGAGCCATCTAAATAAGAAACAATTCCTTAGGAAAGTTTTATATGTGAAATGACTGTAAATGCAGAAGGAAAACCATTTTGCTTATAAAATGTAAAAAGAAGATTTGGAATAGGACCTGAAATAGTTCACGAACCATCCGAGCCCCTTCTCCAACATATTTCTGAACAAGCTCACTTCCGATGACACGGATGAAGCAAGCATCTGTTCTGTTGGCTACGGCCCGAGCTAAAAGTGTTTTGCCAGTTCCTGGAGGGCCGTAGCAGAGAACTCCTTTGGGAGGATCAATTCCAAGCTTTACAAATTTCTCTGGATGAAGCATGGGGAGCTCTACCACCTACAAAAGAAATCTTAAGAATATTGAATTGAAATGGAAAAGTGTCAAAATGATCCCTTGACTCTTTGACATTTTAGTCCTGGAGTATATAAAAATATCAATTTAGTCCCTAGATTTTTTTAATATGGGTTAAAATAGTCCCCAATGAGGACTATTTCAACTCCCATTAGAAGAGACGAGGACTAATTTAGCACTTCAATTATCTTACAGACTAAATACTCGGCTTAAAATTAAAGTATGTTTAGAAGATGCTAGATAACTAATTCACTCACTTCACGCATCTTTTCAATCTGCTCCTTGCATCCACCAACATCATTGTAAGTGACATCTGGCTTCTCCTCCACAGTCATCATTGTGACACTTGGATCAATCTTCGGAGGCAAAGGAATTTGAATCTGATATTTGTTTCTATCAACCCTGAAATGATTTAAAAATTTTAAAAATAATAATTAACAAAATGGGAGATCAGTTAAACTGTCAATCCGTCACTGATAGTGAGGAATTATTTATATTATTGGCCAAAAAGTTGGCCTATATATAGTCAAAAAGTGGGGTAAAAATAAAATTAGATAAATTAGAGGACAATAATACCTTGAATTATGAGAAAATCAAATCAGATATCACTAATAAAACTATTTATATTATAAGGAACTATCTATCCATCTATCTATATGTAAAAGCTCCAGCTTGTTACAGATTCAAATAAAATGTTTAGCGATCAAGAACTTTGATAAACATATCAGCAAATTGTTCCAAACCAGAAACATGAGTAACATTATCCCTGTAAAATACAATATAATATTTGAAATCACAATCCACTTCAAAATGCTTTGTTCGTTAATTGAAATAGGACAGATGGCACTGTATATGCCGGCACAATTATCACAATACAGTGTCAGAAGATAAGTGCTGGGAAAAATAAACTGTTAGCTCACATCAGTACATATTGTAAATGAGTCATGGTTGTATATTTAATATCAACACTGAATCTTAGCACAATTCTAATTTTTGTTTCTCAAGGTAACGAGGGCATTCACAGCAAAAATACAATACCCTAATGTTGACTTCATATTCATCAAATGAACCAACATAATCAACATTGAAGAATGTTTCAATATTCAGATGCTCTATTTTAATATATAAAACTCTTATTCAAGAAAATCTTTCTACATTTAAGCATTCATATAGCCTCAAGATTCTTCATTCACATTTTGCTTTTATTGATTCACCACTCCAAATCACAAATGAAATAATAGACCACAAAAGTCAAATAAACAAGCTTAACAACTAATATTTGATATTAGCATAAATCATGAAGAGGCATTTCATCATCA